AATGTATTTTTTGTTTACATTTAATTTAATAATAATTAAGTGAAAAATTAATAACAAATTTTCACACCATTTGTGCTGAAAAATCAATGCATTCATCGATCGGACGAGTGATTGATGTGAAGAAAAATCATTCAATCGTTTTATAATTAATTGTTTTTCGCATTATTTTCCCATTAAATAGCGTTTGGGTTATAAGTATTTGCACTTTTGTAACGACCGGTAATTATCCGGGTATTTGTTGGTGTGTTTTGGGGGCTCAGGCGTACTGTTTGTGTCGCTCATTCATTTGATCATGCTACAATTGCTGCTGGCCTGCTATTGCCTCTATGTGTCAGGTTTATGCCAATTTAGCCAGGGCACATTTATTTGTAAAATTGTCATTTAAAAACCCATGATTTTGGTCAATAACATTACGCCCTAATGTTTATATTTACAATTATGGTGATTTTTTTTTGTAATATTTATTGATTACCATGATGTGTACTTTACCCTCCGTTCCCAAAAATTAAACATAATAAACATTTTTACCATTGAATTGAATGATAATTATATCTACTTATAAACAAAGCGTTACTTTTCTTGACATTTATTTATAAACAAAAAATTTATTATTGATTTTTAATAAACTCTTCGATAAGTTTATCTCAATATTTGGCAAACAATGACTTTTTGTAATGTATTTGTTGTTTTGATTTTTAGTTCATTTTAAAAATAATTACAAACAAATAATGCCTTTTATTATCTGTGTTTTGGGGAAAAATGAGTTTTAAATTAATATTTCAAATAAAAATAATCTGCAAACTAATGAAAAGCTAATAAACTATAGACGAGAGAGAGAGACAGGAAATATATTGTGAAAAAGTTATTTTACAGTAAAAACTGTTCAGTTATTCACTTGAAAACACCTTTATTTACAAAATACTACAGTATTTCACAAAAAAAAACAATTAATTTTTCATTTGTTTTGTTGTCTATTTCGGGAGAAAAGCCCCAAAAATGGTAGAGATTTTATCAATAATTGTTTTACGCTTATATCACACGTCCTATTATTATCAGCGATACCACAGTCGATGAGTACTAATCCTTAATAACAATGTTTTATTATTATTTCACTTTTAAATATCTCATAATTTATTAATTATATAATAATATAGCAGTTATTAAAGTGTTTTTTGGTGGAAATAAAGCTATAATAGCGTTAAATGAGATCTACTTTTATAGCGATGAAAAAAGTCCTTTTATTTTATTTATTATTTATTTGTTTGGTTTAGAAATAAAAATACAATTAAAAAATTATTAATTTAAAAAATAAAACTAATGTTTTGCTCGTTTTTTCAATTGAAACGAAAACAAAACACGAAATAACAGTAACTTTTGCGGTGAGAGAAAGACAGACAGAAAGATAGGAAAGAAAATAATTACTAAAACGAGAGAAAGAAAGACAAAAAGAGGCGAATAATAAAAGGATTGAAGAAAAATACTATTAATAACAATAATAAATAATTAAATGAGAGAATAATAATAATAATAATGTCTTTGAATGTAAAACAACGGGAAACAAGTTTGAAGAGAAGTGTCTCAACTCCGGGCACTCTTGTGTTCAATTGGCGGACAAATATCGGCACTAATGTAAGCATTGAGTTAACTATATGTTTGGCCAAACCATTCGCACCACAGCACCCGCTGCCAGATGTGCTCTCACACCTCCCTTCCCAACAGCCCTTATGTACCCTCACATACAGTACACCACTATTTAATCATAATCTGCTGCTGTTTCTCGTCGCTAATTATAACGCTTGTGCTAAAACTTGCAATGTTTTAGCAATTGATATTCAGTATACTTATAATGTGTTTGCGATTATAATTGCATTAAATCGTACGATTTTCTGATGCTTTTAATTGGCTTTTTTGTTAGTTGCAAACCATCGATGACTATTCGCCTCCCTGTGCGTTAAGCCCTGTGTTTGCTTTGCATATTTCGATGAGATTTTCAAATGTTTTTGGACTTTTGATCACGTTTTCAATACCCCTTTCCTCTCAACACACGCTATCTCTACAATCCTATCAATCCCTCCCTCTCTTTCTCTCCCCATCTCTCCAGCATTAGTAATGTTGTTTGCATTAATCATATGCTGTTTTGCAATCATTTTAATCTAGTCTTAAATTTCTGATTGCATTTGAAATCTCTTTGAAAACTCTGCAAAACATAAGTGTTGTTAAGCTTTTAAATTGAAAATTTTTGTCAATTTTACTTTTGGTTTTGCTTCGCTTGAAAAGTGTGTGAATAATGTCTTTGAAATTTTGTTACTTTTGATTACGTTTAATGTCTAAAAAGTTTTTTAGTTGTTTTTATTGTTATTTTATATGTTTTCTCTCTCAATGCAATCCAAGAAATACTACCGTTTTTAATATGCATTTGTTGTGCAACTTTTTGTTGACTAATTCTTTTAAATGTGTTTAGCATTGGATTAAACCATTGAAAATTAGATGATATTTTGAGTGCATTTAATGTCTGTGTTTTGTTTGCATTACTTTTAATATACGAGTGTTTTTTCTAAACTTGTGTTGAATTTAAGCACAACTTAAGCCATAAATTAGATAAAATGCACGAAATATTCTCACATTTATTGTGTTTTTTCAAAACTCAACACTTATTTGATTACAAACTATTGAAACACTCATTGCAGACCGATTTGGATCGCATTGACACCCGTTTTCATCACTTATCCGTCAACTCTTCGCCAAACGGTTCCCATAATAATCATCACAACTATAATAATAATAACAATAATATCGACAACAGTAACAATTATCTAAACCTAATGCCGACAATAGTGCGGAACCGGTCCATAGACTTCCAGAACTCTTCGCCAATCAATAAGATTCGCTTCGATTTTGGCGAATATCACCAGAAGTACGACGACATCCAAGACGTGCAACGCGTGGCGCCCGAAGACTTGGCCTCACAGATGACACTCATTGATCTGTCGGTCTTCGCCGCCATTCAGCCCCAGGAGTTGTCGTCCGGTCAGTGGAACGGACCCAAGAAGAATCACAACTCACCCAATGTGGTCGCATTCACGCAGCGTTTCAATCGAGTGAGTCATCATCGCTGCCGGTGCCCTACCTTTCCCTCTACTGCTGTTCCCCTAAATAATAGACAAACATATTGTAAATTATATCTTATCACGAGTTTTGAGGACTTTTCCCAATTGTATTATTTGTTGCACTTTTATCTCAAATATTTGTATTTTGTTTGTCTTTTATATTAATTTTTCCTTTATTTTGATGTTTTATTAGAAAAGTTTTTTTTGAAGTCTTTTGAAATGTTGTTTTTAATGTGTATTATTGGGTTTTTCTTGATTCTCATTATTTAAGGTAACTTTTTGGGCGATTCAAGAGATACTGTCGCACAAGAGCGCCAAACATCGGGCGGAAGTGTTGAGCCATTTCCTAAAAGTGGCCAAACGGCTGCTCGAACTGAATAACTTGCACTCGGCATTTGCCATTAAGTCCGCCCTCTCATCCGCACCCATCCATCGACTCACAAAGACTTGGGCCGTAAGTGATCCCATATTTTCTCGTATATCATACCATTCATTCAGTTGCCATTCAACCCGCAAATGAACTCATTTTTGATTCATTGTTTATTCAATGCATTGTTTTAGGAGTGTTTTGTTTGCCATTCATATCTATATTTGTAAATATTTTGTTATTAATCTATTGTTTCTTTTGATAACACTTTTAATAGTATTTATCGAAAAAAGATAAGCAATTG